AAGGGGAAGAAACTTGAAGCTTTCCTACTAAGATCAGGTACAAGTCAAGGATGTTCCCTCTCACTACTCCTTTTTCAACATCTTCTGGAAGTTTTACCTGATGCAAAAAGAAAAGAAAAGGTAATAAAAGTTACAATAAAAGGTACAAAGATTGAGAAGGAAAAAATAAACCTGTCTGTTCACAGATGACATGTGAAAATCCAAATGAATTGACCAGAAAATCTTCTGTAACTAATAAACAATAATATTAAGATTGTAGAAACAAAACTAATATATAAAAGTCCATTGTTTTCCTATATTCTAGCAATGACCAAGTGGAAATTGAAATTAAATATGCTGAGGCATTATATTAGCACTAAAGAAATGAAAAACTTAGGTTAAAAAAAAAACAACAAAATATATTCCAGATATAAATAAAGAAACTTACAAAATTCTGATTAATAAAGTTAAGAACAAAATAACTGGAGAGATTCTTTATTCATGTGTAGGAAAACTCAATACTGTTGAGATATTACTTCTTCCCAGTTTGATCTATAGACTCAATGCACTCCCAATCAGTTACTTTGTGTATATCACCAAATTGATTCTAAAGTTTATGTGGAGAAGCAAGAGACCCAGAATAGCCAGCACACTACTCAAGGGGAAGAACAGATTAGGAGGGCTGACACTGACATTAAGGCTAACTGTAAATCTACAGTAATAAGGATAGTACAGTATTTATGAAAGAAGTGATGGGTAGATCAGTAGGACAGAATAAAGGACCCAGACTTAGACCCATACCCATAAGTACAGTCAAAGGATTTTTCACGAAGGAGCAAAGCAATACCATGGAACAATCTCTTCAACAAAAGGTGCTGAGACAACTGGACATCCACATGTAAATAAATGAATCCAGACAAAGACCGTACACCTCCTACAAAACTTAATTCAAAGTGGATCACAGACCTACATATAAAATGAAAAATTATAAAACTCACAGAAGAAAACATAAGGAAAACCTAGATGAACTTGGATGTGGTAATGACATTTTGGATAAAACATCAAAGGCACAATTTATGAAAGAAACATTTGATAAGCTAGACTTCATTAAAATTAAAATCCCTGCTCTTGAAAAGACACTATCAATAGAATGAGAAGAAAAGTCACAGACTAGAATAAAATGTTTGTGAAAGACTCATCTGATAAAGGATCATTATCCTAAACACAGAAGAACCCTTAAAACTCAACAGTAAGAAAACAATCTGATTAAATAATGGACCAAAGACTTTAATAGACACCTCACCAAAGAGAATATAAAGACAGCAAATGAACATATGACAAGATGTTCTACATCATATGTCACTAGAGAAATGCAAATTAAAACATGATAAGATATCACTACACACCTGTTAGAATAGCCAAACTTCAGAGCATTGAGAACAACAAATGATGGGGATGTGGAACAACAGTAACTCTCAGTTATTGCTGGTGGAAATGCAAAATGGTGCAATCACTCTGGAAGACAGTTTGGCAACATCTTATGAAAGTGAACTTCCTATTACCATAGGATTAAAAATCATAGTCCTTGGTATTTATCAAAAGGAATGAAAAACTTATGTCCACAAAAAAACCTGCATGCAGGCATTTATAGTAACCTTCTCCATAATTGCCAAAATTTGCACACAACCAAGATGTTCTTTAGTGGATGATTAGATAAACTGTGTTGTATTCAGACAATAGAATATCATTTAGCACTAAAAATAATGAGCTGTCAAGCCATGAAAAGACGAGGAAACTTAAATACATATGACTAAATAATATAAACCAATCTGAAAAGGCTACTTGTGAAAAGACTTTTGCCATTCTGGAAAAGGCAAAACTATGGAAACTGTAAACAAGTTCAATGTTTGACCCGGGGGTGAGGGTGATGAATAATTGGAGCACAAAAGATTTCTAGGGCAGTGAAAAATACTCTGTATGATGCTGTAATGATGGATACTTGTCATAGATTTGTTCAAACCCATAGAATATACCAAGAGTGAACCATATGTAAGCTACAGATGTTGGGTAATGATTATATGTCAATGTAGGCTCATGAATTGTAACAAATGTATCTCTGTGGTGGGGGATTTGAATAATAGGAGCCTGTGCATGTGCTGAGGAAGGAAGTATGTGAGAAATCACCGTACCTTTCCTACAGTTTTGCTGTGAACCTTAAACTGCTCTAAAAAAACAAAGTTTCAATAAAATAAAATATCAATGAATTTTAATATTGTCATAATATACCTATCCTTCCCTTTTTTTGCTGGTTAGTTTTGGACAACTTGTAGAAATTCTGGTATTTCAAATAAATCATTAGTCTGTAATTTAGAAAGTGAATTAAAATCAAGTGGAATGCAAGATGACATGAGTAGCTTTGAAACAGTGACCTCTATACTAAGTGAGAATACATTTTTATGTCACTACATATATATTTCTAACACATTACTTCTCTAGTTAGAAGTGTACTTTTTTTATTAGTTTAAGAGTTCAGAAGTACAACTGAATACTTACTGAAATTGTCTCTAAAAAATAACTGTTGTATTTAAAAGTCTTAGGCACATAGAAATAGCTGAAGTAGAGACAAGATAGTGTGATTTAATGTGAAAGTGAAATATGTATTTCTTAATAAGGGGAAAATATTATAACTTCTTTCCAGAAAGAGTTTGACTGTAATGTTCCCTTCTATCTGAATACATGTATGTAGCACAGAAGAAAGAGGTTTTATTCATTGGTGACATCTCCTGGGTGATGGCATAGTTTTCAATATGCTAAGATTGATTATAAACAATTTTCTTTTTCCAGATTTTAAACAGTGTAATTAGGGGGACTGTGTCACAATTTGAGTCAGTGTTAGCATTAGGCCATATAATTAGCCACATGTTATTGGCCTAATTTCCAATAGGCCTGTTAACATAAGCAGATAATGTAAGCTATACATGAGTTGGTCCTGGTGTGCTCATACATAAGTTTTCCTCTGTTAAAATAGTCAAATAACCAAATTCTTAAGAATGACTCCTTGGAAACCCTTGTTGCTTCTCAACTCAAATCATGCACACATGAGTTATAATGGTACCATGTGTCATGCCCAATTAATGAGTGATCCTAGATCATAATAACAGGGCACCTGGACATGGTATCCTAACTAATTCCTAAAATCAACCTTAGAAGTCAATCACATTGTGTTCTATGTACTGTTATAGGAAAGGCCATATTGAAAAAGTCAGAGGTCCAAAATATAAGCATGAGAGCACACTTGTAGGTAGTTAGGGTAGCAGAAGCTTCTAAATGGTACTTATTCCAAAGGAATCTGAGTCTTTTTGCTTCAGTAGATTATGATAGGTAGGTAGATAGGTAGGTAGGTGATAGATAGATGATAGATAGATAGATAGATAGATAGATAGATAGATAGATAGACAGACAGATAAATAGATACATACATACATACATACATACATACATACATACATACATACATAGATGGATGATAGATAATCAAGATCTCCAAACTTCCTTAAATCTCTTTCTCTTCACAGTACTCCCAGGACATCAAACCACATTATCCTAGTTTTCCAATTTCAATGATTGTTTCTTCTCATTTTCTGACCTGAAAGGGTTCAGTCCTTCACTTTGTTTTCTGTATATGCTCCAACCTTAGATTATCACTTCCAGACTCACAGAACATTACCAAAGATTTTTCTTCAGTTCCAATTTTTCTCCTGGATGCCAAAATCATCTATCTTGACACTTCTCCTTGGAGGAATGCCAGTAATCCTTAACTCCTTTCTGTCAATTTTTTTATGGCACTTTTGATGATCTTACATGCAACATACACTTACTTAGCTGGTGCATATTTTTGTCTCTTCACCCCTCTCACTCCCCAAAATACAAGTGCATGAGGACAGGTACCTTTATTTCTTGCTCACTGCTTGTCCCAGGTATGAATAATAGTGTTTAATACATAATAGTATGCACTCATCAACATAATTGTTAAAGGAATAAGCTATTCCTATTAACTTATTCTTAAAGTATGTGAAGCATCTGTTTGATCTTTAGAAATGCCATTTTCACAAATTTTAGTAAATAGAGAACATATCAAATGTCATTGTCACCTACGGACTTGTTAGGCTAATTTAGCTAAGAATAAGAATTATGCCATTTGCTTTTAGGCCCTGAAAGGCCTCCATTACGTTCTGAGGTCACACATTTGCCTTTTAATTTTCATCTTTTAATGTTGTCTTTTCAATGTTACTACTTCAATACAATTGAAATTATGTTGTACACATTATAAAACATGACATTTTTAATTAATTTCCTCAAATACCTAATTGTCACAATTGTAGAAAAATGTACTTATGATTTACACACACACCTTTTTTGTATATATTATATTTTAGTTGAGATTTGACTGTATCTTGCATTTCTATTCTGATTTGTCGTTCATGTTTTATTGGTTTCAAAGGACCTTCATTATTGAATTTATAATACATATTATTAATAATGACTATTTTAAGTATTATTTTATTTAAAATCACAACTAATACTTTTTTAAAATTTGAACCATGCATTTGACACAGTGCAAAGTGCTTCAAATGGATTATAACACATTAATACTCAGAACTCTACAAAGGTCATATCACATCCATCTTAATCAGTTGAAATAACAGTGGTTCAGAGATGATAATTGCCCAGAATTTCACAGCTGAGAGTTGAGATTCTAACTGGGGTCTCTGACTAAAAAGGCTATTCTCTTAAAATTATATATATATATATTTGTGTGCCACTCAAAACCTTTAATATTTTACCTTTTCAAGAATTGTATTTGTTATCTATCCCCCCTTGTGTTTTCCTGAATTGGAATCCTGAGTGCTTTGGAGTAATTTACAATGGTTTTGTTTTATATTATTTATAACTGCATCCATTTATGTGATATCAATGTTGATAAGCTTTTGTATGCTTTTTCATTTTGTTTTTCTTTTCAGGACACAACTATAGTAACATGTAAGAGGACATATCACCAAGCATTCACAAAGTGAACTATAAGGTATGATTATTTTTGTTATTTCTGCTTTATTAAAAATGTAGAAATGTCAAAATTATAGAAGCTCTCTTAAAGATCTTTATAGCTAAAGGTTTGGCAGAATAATTTTCTTCTGTTTTAAAATCACTCTTGAAAAATTATCATCTATTCCATTATTTCCTCTGATAGATTTTGGAATTCTTTCTTACAGACACACTTTCAAATGTCATAGAACAAGCAAAGGTGCATTGACATTAGACTGACTTTTATAAGTGTTTTAAAATTTTCTTTTAAAAAACTGAAAGCTTAAGAAAAAGATGATGTGTAAAATTGATTATTCTCAATGAATATGTTATATTTCAACATTTCAATTTTTGAAAGTATTTCTAAAATATAATTTTGTATATCTGTGTGCTTGAAATATATATACATAGAGAAATCAGATAATATTTTAGTGATCATTCAAACTTATTGCTAAATGTAGATGGTGTTCTTAATGAAAACTTATGCTTTGGAGCCTCTTTAAATATCAGGGTCTTGAGATATAACTGTTCCTGACTGTTAATTATCATTTATCTGTGTAAATTCATTTATAGAGTATATTAAATTAATGATATTTGAATTTGAATAAAAAGTTTAATAGGTGTAAGTATAGAAAAACAATAAATAGTAGATAAAAATAAACTTTCTGCCAATTTGGAAAGTGACTAATGATATCTGATACAAAATTTCCTCACATTATATAATAAGAAACATATTAATGCAATTAAATATTTAATGGAAATATGAATTATAAGGAGACAAGCCATGAGATCATAATTATTAGATTATTTGTATAAAGTGCCCTTCATCACACATATTCTATATTATTGCCTGATTTTTAAGGTAAGTACACATACATCTATTAAATCCTCATTTATATCAATAGAAAGGATGGAAAATGCTAATGTTTCAAAATATTTGATATTTTCAAAGTCAAATTCTGTTGTTTATTGTAATGTGCTTATTATTATTTTACAAAGATAATGCCAGATATGGGTCTGTTCTTGATATAATATATTACACGCAAAAACAAATCCTAAACTAATTTGAATTCCATTCAATTCAAACAAATATAAGTTAACACTGCTTCAAGTGTAGATTCCTCCAGCCTAATTCACCAACTGCATGTATCTTAAGTCCCCCACTCAGGGCCCTACAACCTTGATCATGTTGGAAACTCTTAGCAAGGGTGACGTTTTTTAACACACAAATTCATAACTTATTTGTGCTGCGGACATACTTTGTCTGAAAATGTCTTTTTGGTTGCAGGAACATGTGGGAGTAAAAGCAAAATTGATACAGAAACTATGTTATGATAGGTTTTGTGGTATACATAGCTTATCTTAATTACCTATCATCATGAGTATATGTTATCATTACAGGAAAAACACAGTGTGTTTGAGTGATTGTATGTGTGTGAAAATTCAATTTTCATGTCCCAGGATGTACATTAAACATAAATAACTTTTAAAATTGAAATATTAGTGCATGGTTTATTATTATATTATTATATTTATATTTTACAGTACTATCCTTAAGATTATATAGGTCACTGTAAACAGAATTATATTTACACTCTGTATGTGAGAACTATAATCCAAAGCATACCTTTGAAAGGATTATATTAGAGCAAATAAGACTCACAAATTTTATGATCTTACAAGGTCAAACTTAACTAGGCTTTTACTGTTAGTCCAAGATTCTATGGCTTTAGGTCAAATTTAAACAGAGATCTATGCAATGTAAAGGGAAAGAATAGAGTACTGTTCACCAACTGAATTTAATATAAGGATATTTGTCAGATTCAAGCCTTACTGCAACTTATTAAAAAAAAGAGAAGATAAAAAGGCTGGAAGACAAAATTTTACACTGATTGTCTTTGTCAATTAAACTTTATGTTGATTTTATGGTAAGTCTCACTTAAATTTAAGTCTACTAAGTTATTCATGAAACTCTGTTGTAAAATAATCACATCTGTGGATTTGAATATTAAGACAATAACTTTATTTAATCAATGAAGACAGATTTAAGATTAATATCCTTGAAAAAGGACAGTTTGCTTCTATATTGGTTAGTATTTTTGTAGTTTTCCTCCCAATCTATCTCTTTTTTTGAAATCTCTAGTTTATAACCAGCTGTGTCCTACATAAAAGACTTACATTTTAGAACAATGTTTATACTCTACTTCTTTTCTATTAGTTTTAATAGGAAATCTTCATCAAAATTTCTACAGAAAGATAATTTTCAGGAAGGCACATATCCACTTTAAATTAATGATTGAATTGTTGACAATAGAATTCAAATATACCTGTTGAATGTGTAATGGAATAGAAGACAAAGTGCATTGTATGTTATAAAATAAACAATAGTTTTTCCACAATTTAAAAAAAATATCTTGTTTAATAGACAAGTTAACACATTTTTGTTCAAATAAAGTTAATATGAATATATAGTTTATGTATAGTGGCATTCAAAATTTACCTTATTTCACTTTCAATGGATTATTGTCTTCTTTTACAATTATAGGAAAATTAAATAATACATGTTCATTTAATTACGTCATTTAATATTTACCTTTCCCTTTACTCATCTTAAAAATCTGAGTACTAGAATATTTCTATTCTGTAAATTTCTATAAATACTCTTTCGTATAGTTTATGTTAGAAAAATATATAACCAATCTGGGGTACTTACTTAATAGTATTTTTATTTTTAGTCTTGTTTGTTTCCATGTTTCTTCTTTATTTAGTCCAACAAATATTCCTTACACGGTTACATAAAGAAACCAAATAAACTGTGTAACTTTCTGCATGGCAATATGTATAGATTGTTTAATTCTGTAGTCAATAAAACCACACATTCAAACGACTAACACTGAATGCACGCAAAAAGTGACGGATGTTTGTAAACTCATTTACTCCTCAAAGCTCTGCTATGATATACTTATGATTTCCATAAGTGTGGATAAAATAGAAATGGCATGATTTCATAGAATTTAGACAGTTATTTTTAAAAATGAACTAAAGCAAAAATAAGACTATACTAAGTTCAACTTTGCTCACATGTTTATTCTTAAGTACAAAGGAGTAAAACTTATCATTGAATAATGCCACGGGGCCTCTACCTCCAGAAAGTCACCTGGCATCGATGCTTGTCTGTATATGTTAAAAAAAACCTCTAGTTTCTAGTTGGAGTTGCTGAGATACATGTATTCTGCTTCAAATACAAGTAATTCTGGAAAGGAAGAACAGGGACTACATTTAGGGAGAAGAGGAGCCCTCAACATTTTCATTGCTTCACTGACACTTGTTTGGATATTAGAGGCTGTGGCAAGGGGAATTTGTGCTTCTGTCTCTAGAGCGTTTCCTCTTGTCATACAGCCATGGTGGATATATAGGCACCTTCCTTCCTCTGGAAGATAGAGTCAAGTTGACAGTTTATGAGGGAGAGAATGATTATGTATTCAAGTTTCTTGCACATTTGTTGGTGCAATATTATTCATTTAAAGTCAATCATTGATCCCTTTTCACTTTCTCAATCCTGCTTTTTATTTGAAATATCTCATTGAAGAAATAACCTTTGTATACAGTTTACATTAAATCATTTGCTTAAATATTTCAAATTTCACTGGAGTCTTCAACTTCTCAAAAAAAAAAAAATTAATAAAAAACATTTTTTTAATTCAGCAATTACACATTTAAAGTTTAGTCTACATAAATCAGAAGAAAATATAAGTAAATAATTACATTTTCTAGGAAGATAACAAGTAAAAGAATTATATATTTAAAAATATGAGTATTTTGATCCATAATTTCTTCCTTGAGTTAATTGCAAATATTCTTTTCTTATTTCTTAATATTCTACCACTTCCCATTTTAATTAAAATTCTTTGTCCCTTTCACTTAATTATCTACAAATCTCTACCTATTACTGTGAAATCATATGCCTAAATGCTCTTACTTAAGCTACTAGAATTTTCCTTTTCCCCAAAATTGTATCTTTGACTCATTTCTTAATCCGAATTCCTTCCTACCAAGTTTGTTGACTTCACAGCTATAATTAACTCACTGTATTAAGGAAAGTGTCCTTAATTTCTTGTATTTATATTTCTACCTTTTTTCCTCTCTAATTGAAACTTCCTTTCCTCTAGGTAAAGCACATTTCTTGGTATATGATAGATTAATAAATATTATTAAACTAAGGGACAAAGATGGTTAAGAGCTAGTTTATAGAACATACCTCCTAAAACACACAAAGGAATACTGGAGAACAGAGGTTTGGTGAGCAGTAAAAGAGGTACATCTTGACTCTTGGCTCATTAGCATGACCTAGTTTATTAGAATGACAAACCATTAGGCTGGATGGTTGGGAAGTCACTGACTGTGAAGGAATAAACATTGACATGGCTTCACTGGATGAGGGGATGGGGAGAAAACCAGAAGTATGTCAGGGGCTGAGCTGAGCTCAATAGATGAGCTCTGAGGTTATAGAATAGCTGACTAACTACCACATGACATTTCCTTAATTATAGAAAAAAATTCCAAATGCCACTTACTTTCACTTTATGCATAAAAATTATTGGATGCCCAGTCTAAACTGGTTATTAAGTGATTGGAATATGCAATTTCCAACTCATTTAATATTTAGAATAATACAATTGGATTATCACCATTTTATTGATAAGGAAGCTCAATATGATTCATTGTGGGTCCTTCTGGCACCAAATCTATATTCTTAACCATCAGGAAGGAGAGGGTACATATACTTTTATTCACTCAGAGATATACCATGGTTGAAGTGGTCTGATATTTAGAACTACTGGTTTCTTTCTAATTATGGATTCATGGTTATCTCCTTAAGAATTTCATTTTCTAATTTCCTTCAAGTATATTATTAGAACTAGCTTTCAAATCCCCTCAAAACATGTGCAAAATTTGTTTTTTATGCATTTATTTTCTGCCTGGAGTTTGCACACGTTTCAC